CTAGATGTAGACATGTCTTCAGACAAGACAGACACTGAGTTTGAGTCTGACTGTGATCTTGTAGATGTTAGTAGTGACAGTGATGAATTCGAGAACTAATCGTCAAAATAAGTTTATATTTAAGTTAACATTATTTAAGTTTTACATTTAGTAAAGTTACATTTATTACAAGTTTATTTGGTTCTGTTGACAAATATACCAGGTAACATGCTATAAACTTTTGGCAGTTCAAAAATAAAAATGGCAGGCGAAAAATTATTTGGCCTGCCAAACAAAAATTAAAATGGCAGGCCATATATTTTTTCTATTTCGAGCCCTGTTCGGAACACTCCAACTTGGTCGCTGTCATCGCTGTAGTCAGTTTCTGCGGTGTTGTCCATCGTTCGGACGTCCTGTCGTTCGGCTCTTTTCGGGTAGCGTCGCTGACGTGGTTTGGTGGGGTTTGAGCGTTGTCGGTCTTGGAGACATACGGACTGAAAGTGGTTAAGTTTTCCACAGGAGCGACATTCTTTTCCGTGTGCTGAGCATGTTGGATGATCTGATGATCGAAGGCAGGCTGTTGCCATGTTTTGTTGTGTTTTAGGCTGTTTTTAGCCGTTGAATCGAGAGTTTTAAAGCGTTTTGTTTGCTTGCTTTCCCGCCACGTGTAAACGCCTAGCGTACGTTTTTCGCCTTCGAACGGCTTGGTGTTTCTGAATGTGAACACAAGAGTGCACTGATCTTTCTGACTTGAGTAAGATCTTGCGCTGGGTTGTTTTGTTGTTTGTGTTAATAGATCCTCGTCGCCATTGTAATATTCTCTTTAAACATCAACACAAGTTTTATTCTCAAGTCTCCATGTTATCTGCCTTCCATCCCTGTCCCCTTGTCGCATGTCCCACACGTGATAACATAGGATATTACACGGGCCTACGATTCAATTGCAGCGCTTTAACCAACTGAGCTATACAGGCCAGTGTCAGTGAACGTTGTCGAGCTCTAACCGCACGTTCAAGTGTATAATGCTGCCAATGTAAGATGCATGTACGGGTGAATATCAGCATTTTGGGCATCTACACTCGATATAATAAATTCTAGAAGGGTTTTGCGTAGAGCGCTGCAGCGGGCATATAGTTGTATTTTTTGCAACTGCTCCTGGTTTGAAATTTCCATCTACAAACCCGTTCTACAATTAATAAAATTAATTATATCGAGTGTGAATGCCCAAAATCCTGGTATAGGAATTAGTGCATGGGTGAAAAGTTACAGAAAAGTTTCAAGTTCATGACGTTATTATTGTACGTGTCTTTCTGTATTAATGAAAAATGAAAGTATATATACTTTATTAATTAACTAAAAAAACTTAATGCATTACTTACAATTAAAGAATTCATTTAAACATCCACGATAACCTAATTCATCTCAAACTCATTAATAATTCATGAGTAAATTAGTTAACCATATTGCTTTATTTTGCTCACATGATAATATTGGATACCTGATGAAGTACATTGATCTAGTCCTAAGACTGGATCAAAATTAATTAAATAGTGATTTA